AGACAGGTCACTTGGGAAAAGCCAGTTTTATACTCTTGGATACGGTAACATGAGTGTCATTGCAACTTCAATAATGTTAGCCAAGCATGGCTGAAAGGTCAATATAATAAAAATAATAAGTATATATAAATTTATAATGTTATGAAATTTAAGCTATTCAGACTAAACATTTTTGTTTTTGTGGTATAATTTTTGTCATTCTAGAATGCAAAAAGCATAATTTATTTCCTAATTTCTTATTGAGGTTACGAGGTCGGTCAAATCGAACCAACCCATACAGAGATACAGTAGAGAAAATAACAGATAAAATTTAAAGTATTTTTCTAAAAAAAGTATTTGTTAATTATCTGGAGGTTATAAAGATTTTGCATGTGAAATTTGAAAATGTTCTAATGCATAAAAATATTTTTAATCTTAAAATCAAAATTACTTTGCATGTTGGATAGTCAACATTCTGAAAGAAAAAATTTACGAGAAAATCTTTAATTAAAAAATCTTAAGACTTAATTTTGTGTATGAAAACCTTATCAAAAACCATTGTATAATTACTCTCATGGATACTTTTGTGGTTACAAGCTGGGTGGATTCCACCCAGCCCATAATGAAAGGGTTAAAGAGCACGCACAAAACACAGCATATAATCAGTCGCCCATCCCTCGCCACTTTTTACAGGACCGTGACACAAATGTCACTTCAAAACACTTTAACATTTTGGGGAGTGCGGATAATAAAGAAATGCTCTTCACTAACGAACATTTATGGATACACAAGATGTATTCTGAATTAAATGTTAATCAAACAGTCACCTTTGCTTCTAAAACATTTTCAAAAATAAACACTTTTGAGTGACCTTTTCATTTTTTCTATCACTGATGAAGTTGTACATATTCTCACCTTTTCATGAATTTCTTGAGTGGACTGGGCATCACAAAAGGCAACAGTTGCCACATCCTTAAGTATAGGCATCTCAACAGAGCAGTCTCGACCATCAAATAATGCAACAAGGGGTCGGGAATGTAGAGGGCCATTAGCTATTGGTCCACGAGCTCCAACTATAAAATTTTTCATTTTTATGATAATTATTTAAGTAGCTGAGAGATTGTTCTTTTATCTAAAATAAGAAGTTAAAAAGTACAATCTATAAACTAAGTGTTACTTAACTGAGTCAATAATGAACTATGTACAGTGTATCTAAAATATATAAATTTATCAACATAAACTAATATCCATGGCAAAATTAAAATTCATACATCTATCTAGTCATACTCTTAAAATTTATTAATGCTTCTTATAGATTTACATAAAGAACAAGTAACTTATATTAGGAATATTAATGCCAAATTTGATATGAGATGTTATTTATATCAAACCAACAAAGTTTTGTGAAGGCTTTCAAATTGTACATAAATTGGTGAAAAATAAAACGAACAATAACACGAGAAACTAAATGAATACAGTAACTATACACTCATGTTACACTTATTAAAAAACACACTACCAAATTTGTTTTTCTAAGTTAATTTTCTGAACAAATAATTTATTGTTAAAGGTTTTTTTTTAAATACATTTGGCCTTGACAAATAATAATTTTATTATTTGAAAGAAAACATGCTATTATCCAAAAAAAAATAGTTCATACTGTTAACAAGTTAAGCCTTGGTGCTGTAAGAACATTAACTTACATCATCCACAACAAAACAGTTACATACAATTACATGTAACTTTTATGCCAAATTACAGAGGTTTTACTTTTCTTGCTTTCATTGAAATGAAACTGCACACTACTTGTTTCAAATACCATTTTAGAGCAATTTTCTGTTCATTCAAAATAGCTACCAGTCTAACCAGCCTTGATTATGTCATATTTCATACCAGACAGGTTTTAAAGAATTTAAGTTTGTAAAAACTTCTTTCCCAAATAGCAATGGTGATGGTCAATTTCCAGTATGACACACGTGTTAAGGAACAAAACTGCTAATCTCTTCTTGCACATGTATTCCAATATACATTTTGAATCATTTTTGTAAGCCTAAATGAGAAGGCCTGCAATTTGTCACACAATTCTGTTGTACTGAATCAGATGATTCACCATCTAATAAGCCAATTTTGAAATTCACTCAGTTTTAGCATGTCCCTTGAACTAAATTTCAGCAGGTCATCAATACAATACAAGAAACTGAATAATAAGCTAGGTTCCTGTCATTAGCTGAAAGCTCTTTTCCATAGATTAAATGGCTGTGATATTTTGTTAAAAAACGTTAACCTTGAAGTTTTGCTAAGGATCAAGGATAGTTTCATCATAACTTTCATATAAAAACTGTGTTTTTCAAAAACAAATCTCTTCTTGCAACAATTTTCCAGTGATTTCCTTTTTTTTCTGCAAGCTCCCTTGCATTTTCACTTTTTGTGTGCTTCTCCTCTTTATAATCACCTTTGGCATAAAAAAACGGTGGCTCCTTATTTTCTGAGATAGCATATCATTAAAGTTGTAGCACTGGTCTTTTCACTAGTTTTAGCAATAGTTTTTTAACTCATTCTAATAACATTTCTTTTATTTCCTTTTAATGTGTAGAATTTCAAAACCTTAAGAAGAGCACCCATTGGTTTTTCACATCTGCACCATTTTCTCCTTTTCTTATATTGAGCATTAAAAAGATAGTGCCTTCCATCCAATGTTTTTCATGTCCATTGTTTAATCATTTTTGAGTATAACTACTTAACTGTCAGTTTTGTAGCTATATTAACCTTTATCACACTTAAAAGTAATTTTTATAATTTGTCAAGCTAATATCACAAATAAGAACCCCAGTGGCCTAGTTTCTAAAATATTTTTTTTAGAAATTTCTTTTTACACATTTTTGGAATATTCCACCCCCATTTCCCACTGGATACCTACAGCAGAGGATAAAATACATAGAGGTGATATTATAAATGCACTGCAACCTTAGCACTTTAAAGCATCTATAAAATTATATATATTTTGCTACCTTATGCTGTTGCCTACCTTGCATTTATGATAATGCCAACCTTGCTTCTATGTGTAAAGATTAAAATAATTATCCTATATTGTGAGAAATGTATTGAATATAAAGTGGCTGACCACTATGAAATTCTTACAGAATATATATTCAGTGATTCTTCCCTTTCTGAATGGCCAAGGATGGCCCAATGGTTAAGTGTGCTGGACTGTGGATCTGAAGTTTGCTTCCTGTTACTAAAAAATACATATAAAAAAACTGAGCTCTGCACTTTGAGGTCATGGGTGAGTTCTATGAACGATGATCAAATCCTACTACTTCACCCTGACAAGAGTAGTCCACAAGTTGATCACTTGAAAATAGTGCATATAGCCTTTATGCTCCCTGTTTTGCAAAAATGCAATAACAATATAGCTTTAACCCATTTGAGACGGGTCACGGATGAAAAGCCATGTCATCTCGTTTTTTGACTCACATTCAAAATTTTATTGAACCACTATTTCATGAATTTATGTCAATAACTTTGGTATAAAACTGTAGACTATAATTTAAATTTTAATACTATATATTACTCAATTTCTAAATTTAAAAGTAAATATTACAATAACACAGATAAAAATCGATTTTTGTGTGTGTCACATGGTATGTTGAATGCAGCACTGGTTCAAATTAGATGTGTGTGAAGTCAAAATACTAATTCTATAGTTTTGTACGAATTAGAAACTCAAATTACCGATATTGACAAGCTAGAATATAAAATAAGATCCTCTTATGTTTTTAATTTGCTAAGATAGTGCTTATTTACTAAATCAAACACAGTGGCACCCACCCACCTTTTTTTCATTTTTGAAAACACTCCCTTATAAACATTTACTTCTATACACGACATGAATAATCAATCGGAAGCTCAGAATGTCCCCCTAGTGGCTTTCTCAGCCATTTTAACAGTTTTGGCACCATTTCTTTCTTTTGAACCAATATTTCAATGATGTAGGGTCTGTCTTTAGTCTGCTCGAAATTTCATATTTTGTTTAGACTAAAATACATCTTAGTTACTACGCTTGATAAATTATAGTAAAATTCTATGGCATTAATGTAGTAATTTATGATTTTTTAGTTATTCAAATGTATATATAAAACCTAAAAAAAAATA